CATTTCATTTTTATATCACAAGTAGTTTCTCTTCTCTTTTGTGTTCCCAGTTTGTCCTACAACTCACACCACCATTCACTCCTCCTTTACTGTTTATCTTCAGATACATGTGGGTATCCAGTGGATATCAGCAGTGAGAATAAACATCTGTTCTATTAGGACTAGATGAATCTACAAGTAGGAAAAATGGGTTCTAAAAGCAGGCAAGTCTGTCAGAGACAGCCCCAGCTCCCACTGTTAGGATTCCCAAAGAGTACCAAGTTACACAACTCTACCAAATATACAGAGAGCCCAGGGCAGTCTCATGGAAGCACCCTGGTTCTTGGTTCAATCTCTGTGATTCTCTGTAAGCTAAGGTTAGTTGATTTTGTGGGTTTTTTGTGGTGTCCTGGACACCAATGTGTCCTATAATCCTTTCCCCCCCTCTTCCACAGGATTCCTAGAGCTTTGCATAATGTTTAGCTGTGGGTCTTCATGTTTGTTTCCATCAGGTCCTGGGTGAAGCCTTGTTGATGACAATTTGGAAGAGCATCAATCTATGAGTATAGAGTATTATCCCATTCTTACATTGTGTGCAGATGTGGGGAGAAACCTGGAAAGGGGAATAGGGGTGAGAATAGGAGAGATTGGGTGGGGGAGGGAATATGGAGTGAAAGAGTATTGGGAAACATAACTGGAATCTGCAAGCATCTCTGTGATGAGTTACAAACCTAGTGTCATGGAAAGTCTCAGGAAATCTATGAGTGTAATTCTAGCTAAGACTCCAAGCAATAGGGGATATAGGGCCTGAACAGTCTATTTTCTTTTACTGGACAATATTTCCAGTGGAAGGACTGGATCATCAACCCAGTGGCAAATCCTTCAATCTATACTTTTTCCTGCCTCCAAGAAGAGCTATGTAAAGATGATTCAGAAGCTAATGTCTGGTTCAGCTGGATATTAATACCCTGAGAGGGAGCTTGTTCCATAGGGCTGGAACACAGAGGCTGGATACTCTTGTGAAACCTCTTTTTTAATGAGAGACAGAGAAGAAGTTGATCCAGAGAAGAAGGGAGGAAGACAGTAACTGGAAGGAGCACAGAGAGTGTAAATGGTAATAGGGATATATTATATGAGAAAATAAACAATTTTCAATTACAAAAGTCCTGGATTAATTCTAACAATTCAGTGTATCATTTTTTTTCAAGTAATTTCCATCTGTTACAGCACAGAAACAGAATTTTGACCCCTAGGAAAGTACTTTCCTTTATTTGAATTTCTAGTCTGGAGGCTTCTAATGATTTCCTCCTTTAATGAACATCAGTCTCAAATTCTTCATTGTCAAGGGCAACACCTTTCCTTTATTTTTATATAAAACATTTGTTCATAAGAATGGGAGGAACAGAAAATCTGGGCATCTAGCATCTAAAGCCTTGATTTGCATCACTCTTGGATATGTTATAAAAATGAGCCATTTGTATACTTGAATCAGACACTTTCAAGGATAAGTACTCCACCTTCATACATACCTGTGAAAAATTGAATTCCATTGGCTTCAAAACTGACAATGTCTTGGGTAGTCAAACAAGTCTGGCATATCTCTTTAAGGTAGGACAACAGACAATTATCACTTTAAGGCAGCCCCCCCACCCAATATCTAGGCTGAACAAAATATCCTTCCAAAGAGAATGGGCTCCAAAAAGCCAGTTCAAGCACTAAAGTAGGTGGGATATGGGGAGAGCAAGAGAAGAGAGAATGGGACTGGGATGGATATGTAAAATGAGAAAAGGTTGTTTTAAAATTTAAAAAAAATGTCAAAAAATTGTCCATGTCAAAATCCAGTTTATAATAGTTAAGGCAGACAGAAAAGACTACAATATTTCTAATTATTTGTTACAATCAACTTAAGTCATAAAATTTGAATATTTAAAAACAATTTGAAAGGGGAATTTTATAAGATACTAGCTATTGTATAGTTTCACTGTAGATATGAATTATTGTAGGTAGAGTCCTTGTCTCAAAACTGCGTCAGTTTGAAAACAGTCTGCTTTGACTGAGACTTGTGTAAAATCACAGAAGCTTAAAAAGTAAAACAAAATGCAATGCACAAAAGTGTTAAAACTTAGAAATAGAAGTAAATTTCTAATTCTCAGGTGGCATGCCAGAAATTTCTTAAAAATTGCTTACACTTACAATCTCCCAAGACAAAACACACACACATACATACCAAAAGTACACACATGCATTCTTCCACATACGGACACAGCACAACCTCACTGTAAATGGAATTTCTGTCCTACCTGGTCCCGCAGCTGTTTAGCCCCAAATAAACACTCAGAGAAGAACATCCCCCATCACCACACATACACAAGATATGTACATACATGCACATGCATACAAACACAAATGAATACAAATATATCATACACAACTCAAAACTCACACACACACACAGCAGTACACCACACACACACACACACACACACACACACACACACAACACATACACAGATACTTTACACATTTCATAAACACAAATACATGTATTCGCAGACATGCACATCACATAACACAGGTATTCCACACTCCTCACACATGGATGCACACACACACACACACACACACACACACACACACACCACAACATCCCTATCATACACATACACACAGTCATACCACACACACTAAGACATCATTTCACACACAGGCATACACATATAACAAATCCATCACACACACACACACACACACACACACACACACCACAACATCCCTATCATACACATGCACACAGTCATACCACACACACTAAGACATCATTTCACACACAGGCATACACATATCACAAATCCATCACACACACACACACACACACACACACACACACTAATATACACAAACACACAGAACCAAGATTAGATGCTTACCCCCCCCCACTATCTTCAAAATGGATTTCTGTGTAGTCCTGGTTATCTTAGATCAGGCTGACCTCAAACTCAGAAATCTGTGACTCTGTCTCACCAGTACTGAGATTAAATGAGTGTACCACACATGTTTTACTTTCAATCACGGTTTAGTTACTATAAACTGTACAAGAATAAATCAACTTTGATTGAAAAGAAACTAAATGCCACAGAAGAGATATATTAGAAGTGAAACAAGCTTCAGTAGACAGTCTTTTGTTTTGTTTTTATTTCTTTTAAAAACTATCTTCTCTTATTTTACATTACAAACCAATCCCTGTTCTCTCTCTTCCCCTCTTACACTTCCCCCTAGGTCATCCTACCCCCCCCCCATTTACTCCTCAGACAGGGTAAGGCCACCCATGGTGAGTCAACAAAACAGTCTTTTAAAAAACAAAAGTTAAATCACTCTCAGTGACAATGAAGTTTGAGAGACTACACTCAGAAATAATTTGTTCTGGAAACATATTGTAATGGATTCTCTCTCTCTCTCTCTCTCTCTGTGTGTGTGTGTGTGTGTGTGTGTGTGTGTGTGTGATAAATTGTGTAAGTTTAAAGTGTTCTACACATTGTCTACTTCTCTTCCCCTGAAATGGTTTTTACACAGTGAAGACATTGTCATTTAAAATGTAATGGTGGTTTTATATCTTGGTTTGATTATTCTGCTTTTATATATTAAAAGTAACTTTCTATTTTTGTGTTTACTATTATGTTTTAGAAGTCAAGAATATCAATGCACATTTATTCACAATGCCTCAATATTTCTTTTTTCATATTTACTCTTAGTCCTAGTATTCTAATCACTTTTTTACTGTAAATCACTGGTCATTTGGTCATTTCTAATGAATTTCTGGAAGTTTTATGAGAACTGTTTGGAAATATTCAGAAAGAATAGTGAAATTATTTTCTTCTAGATTTATTTGTATATTGAAGTTATTGAAGACAATAACTTCTATTTTATGATACTGTTTACATTATGTTAGCAGCAGGTTTTGCTTGGTAAATATATTGAGGATATTTTTATATCAAGTACACTTAAAGACACCTTGAATGCTACACTAGGTAGTAAATATGCACTCCGGTGTATGAATTATCCCCTTTAATTTTCACATCTTTACAAGACTAGCCATATAATTTCACAATTGAGTGTATGAAGCTACTCTACAAAGAAGCTAGCACTCTCCTTACAAATAACTAATAAATAACACAGGCAAAGAATAAGACACTGGAACAAATTTCCCCAAATCTATCCAAAGCTTGATGCCATGCTGATCTCCATGCCTAATGTTCAGGAACACATATTTCAAGTGAATCTACAAACTCAATTAAACCACAAGAAGACAAACACAGGGCACTGCTGCAAATCTGAATTTAAGTGCTTGTCATCCTTCTAGGAACTTACATTGTGAATGAGAACGTTGCTTTTGAATAAACCTATTGGTTATGCAATAACCATGTTGGACAGTTCTCAGTATTAAAAAGGATGCTGTATAATCTCCTATGCAAATGGAAGTAAATGTATTTTGGCCAAATAAGTTAGTCTTAGAAGAGTAGAATTAAATATAACAAGAATTCTCAAGAATTTATAATATTTGTGTTGCCAAAACTTCAGTATCTTGTAAATCAAAATTATTTATGAAACCAACTGAACATAGTTCTTGAAAGATTTGTCCACTATGCCATAATTTCTCAAACAATCATACTATCAAAACAACATGAAAAATACTCTTAGTCTAATATAGAACTTATGTAGATAATTTTAAAACATGAGAATAAATTTAAAACTCAATTATTGAAAAGTATTCATAGTAAGTTCAGATAATTTATCCTGTGTTGTATTTTGAAAATGAAATTCACATTTTCATTATGTTTTGTACTTTAAAGCACACTGCTAAATAGAATAGATGACTAATGAGGATTGCCATAACACTAAATGGTAAATTATTTACATATCCTTGAAAAGATACTCAAAAGAAATGAAAATAAATTAAGAAAACTTGTGGTTAAGTTTGTTTTGGAAAATGTTCCTATAAAGCAAGAATAAAAACAAATACCTACCCAATAGTGTCAAGACACAGGCCAGTATTGCTATCAAGGCCCCAGTGCTGAGGCCAGCAGGTAGAACATAGGCCTCTGCATTGCAGGTTTGTGCTACACCATCAGCATCACAGTCACAGACACGGATGGTAAGTGTGTTGGTACTGCTTAGTGAAGGGGATCCACTGTCCACAATGAAAATTGGCAGATAGTAAATTGATTGCTCCTGTCTACGGAACCCATTTCTTCTGGTGAGTATTGAGGCTGTGTTATCTAAGATGAAGAACAAAAAGGTATAACAAGTCTTCTGATAAACTATCTTTCCAAAGAGTCTTTCACTTCATGTTGCTCATTAACTGTAAAACACACACACACACACACACACACACACACATATATATATATATATCATCCCTTAATAAATCTCCTTGGACAGAGAGGTATATTTACTATGTAATTCATTTTAACGTATTTCTGTTCCTCTATAGATAGTTAAAGAAATAGTCATAATGTAAAATTAAAAGTTTTACTAAATGAAATTATGGTTTGTTGGCTTGTTTCTGTTTGTCGAGATAGGATTCTCTGTATTGTTTTGGAATCTGTCCTGAAACTAGCTCTGTAAACCAGGCTGGCCTGGAACTCACAGAGATATGCCTGCCTCTGCCTCCCTAGTCCTGGGATTAAAGGCGTGTGCCAACAATGCCCAGATAATTGGATTTTTTATAGACTTGTATATATCTAAAATTTCAAGCCATATACTTATAGAGGAAGATTGGTAAAAGATGTCAGTTGGTATGTGCTCGTTTTTTCAGTATCATTTCAAATTCACCTTTTGTTTCACAGTTTTCTAGATCAGGAAAGAAAAAGTAAAATAAGACAATATAGTTTTAATTTAATTGATTATGTAATCAAGTATCACTGAACTAGGGCATATGATTTGAGAAATGATCCAGACCACTTCCTATATTCACATCATGTTTTACTGGCACAGAATAAGATGTTTTGATTTCATTAGTTGATGTAATCTTATAGAGCTATGACCACATGGTCCATCAATAACTGAAAAATTCAATAAGAAGCACCTTGTTAACACAGATATTCAAACAGGGAATTATTGAATGAATTTTACAAATCATATTCACATTTTCTCAGGCAACATGCTTTAGAATATTATATTAATAACAGAACTTAATTAGTATTCACTATCTCATCTAAGAAAGTTAAAGTAACTTTAACAATGCAAAGTTGATTAATATAATTATATAACTATATTACAGAAATAAATTTAATTTGAGGGTATTTTCTGTGGTTTCTCCTAACTAACTAATTAGAATTCTTGATATTGTTAGAATAAATACTAAGATATAGAAATAAAATAAATAACTCAGAATCATACTGTTATACAGTATGTAAATCTTAAATAGTTTGAAACCTGTTTAGCCAATATTAACATGAAAATTTAATAATATTTAAAGAAACCAAGCTGACATCATTTCCACCTTAAGCAGTACAAAGATATAAGTTCATATTCAACAGTAGGAAAAGAGCTAACAGTAATTTTAGATTAGATTAAATAAAAAATAATATTTTGTATTTAATATATTTTTACATATTTAGATTTTGAAATATTTACCAAAATATTAATGGTTAAAAAACTTAATCATACAATATGAATTTATAAAATATATTAGCTAGTTAATAAATTAAACATGGAAATGTTTATAGATATTTTTTATGTTTCTGTACACTTAATAATACACAGGCTGATAGTTTGATGTGTTGATATCTATAATCACTATGAATATAAAGAAAATATTCTTACAATTGTTTATTGATATTCTAACATGTCTGACATATAAAAATCATTCACATGTAGACACAAAAGCACACACACAGAATAACATACACACTGAATTGAGAAGCAGAGGCCAAACACTCAGCATGTGAAAAAAGGATGCTACGATCAAGAAAGAGTTGTGGAATATATGATGTTCTGACTTTGCTCTTCTAATGTGGAAGACAGCATGAATGATTTCTACCTATTCTTTTGATGCCAGTAAGTGAATAGCCTGGGGAACTTCGGGCTTGCTGTATGTGACATAGCAACATTTCCAGCTGTGTGGCAGTATTGGTACCTCATAAATTCAGACATTTTCTTGTACATATTGTACAGAAATATTGATGCTATTGAACTGTGTAATATGAGGGATATATTCACCATCTTCTTGTGAATGTCATATATTCCCCTGTCTGCATCTGTGCTACATGACACCAAGAAATTAGAGTAAACTTTTCCAACAATAATTAAGTCAGAGAGTTTGGGATTACTCACTCAGAAAATGCTCTTCTCTTATATTACTAGAGTGAAAGCATAGTGTTTTCATTAGGTCAAGAATAGAATCAGAAAAAAAATATTAATTTCAGATTGAATTTTCCTGGCCAAGATCACAATTTTTCACTAAAGTTGTGGCCTTGGGTAAAAGACTTTGTAAATTTCATCTGAAAGCATGTCTGTTCCGGTAAGCAATTTGAATCTTTATTTTAAAACTGAAATCTGACTAACATGAAAACCTGTATAATATGTAAGAGTAAATTCTAATTCTTTATCAAGTGTTATAGTTACTAATGTGTATTAAGGAATTCCAGAATCTGCTTATAGTTATAGAGTGTGTTTACAATTATACTTATGACTTGGTAGGAGCAACTAACTTTAAAGCAAAAATATTAAATGACATGAAAGGGAGTATTTTTTTATTATTATTTACTGCTTTATCTTAATTTTGAATGATTATTATTATTAGATTTTCAATTATAACATTTATTTTTAAGTAGAAATAATGTATTATTATTAAGGAAATTATGTCAATGTTGCTTTAAGATGTAATGTATATAACCTAATTATTTTCTGAGGTCTCAAGTAGTGTTGACATACCACCACCCTTATTAAGGATCTTAGCAGACCTTTAATGTAAATAAAGAGCATGGCATATAAATGGGAGGCAAATATCCAGGAGACAGAAAAGAGAAATATATCTTAATTTTCACATTTGGCTTTATACCCTAAAATGATTTAAATAGATAGCAAATTCATGCATAACATTTAATTAATTAAGTAATGTCCTTGCCTTACCTTTGTTATCTTTCAATGAAAAGTTGTGATTATTTGTTGTATCTGTTGTTAAGCTGAAGTAAAACTGATGTCCATTAGATGGCTCATCTTTATCTATAGCACTGATTTTCTGGATAACCTACGTAGAGAGAAGGTAAAAGAAAAGGGCATACTGATGATATCTGCTGAGATTTCTACAGCAGGACACAGTGATTTTACACCCCATCATAAATGTTATTTTCCAAATGAGTGCAGGGAAGGGATCAGGTGTACAAACATAAACTCAATATAAAACAGGCTCCAGAAAACAAACCATGTCCTTTTCAAAGTGCCTGTTTGAACTTAGATTTTTGAACCTCAGAAACAAGTTGTAACAATTGATTAGTCATCGCAGTAAACAGCAAGCAACTCTGAGCAATAGGGACGGAAAAACCAAAGCCACTTTGTACTGCATGTACTTCATAGAAGTCAAGGTATTTAAACTCTGCTGTGTAATGTAATGTAGGAAATAGCTCAGTCAAGCTTACTATGTTTTTATTCCTTCTTTAAGGAATCCAAGCCTTGACACATGAAACAAGGCTTTGTACAATATTTACTTTCTCTTCCTGTGGAATTTTCATCAGCCTTTTAAACTGGAATTTGACATTCTTTTAATATTAGTTTGTGCTACACATCAAAGGGCTAGCTTTACTGAAAAAGGCAGATTGTGAGCTATCTTGAACTGGGAGGTTTCTAGGACAGCACTGCTGGATGCTTTTAAAGCAATGCCAGTCAAAGAGGAAGTGATTCAAAGCTCTCACCTGCCCAGGCTGAGCATTTTCACAGACAGTGGTTTCATAGTCCATGGCAAACTCAGGTGCATTGTCATTAATGTCCAGGATAGTGATGGCCACGTAGCCTCTCCCAACCTGAGATGGATTCTCTAGGAGATAAGAACATATTCTCTAATTAACTCTGATAGAATACTCACCACACTCTTGTTATTTTATTCAAGAAACAAGAAAAATCAAGAAGAAATTGAAAACTTTCCTTTTCTAAAATATAAACTCAAATGAAACCTATATTTATGATACTATTTACGCTTTCTGAAAAGAACTACATATAGATTCATTAATACATATATATATATATATATATATATATATATATATATATATTTAAGGATATAATTTTACGTTTGCTCATAATGCACAATAGGGAGGTATCTATATTTATGTATTTGTTTTAAATATGTATATACATGTGTGCATGTGTCCAGTCCTTGATAAGAAAAATGCTGAATAAAATTCAACTCATTGATGGCATACCAGATAATTATTTCAGTACTAGCATATTACATTTATGTGTATTTTCTATGTATTTTATAAAATATTACACATTTTAGGAATATAGATATAGTTATATTTTCTCTTAAATTATTTCACTCATATACAAAATAAGTTCAGGGTCAGAACATTCATATCTATGTGTGTTTGTAGAGGTCAACTTACTTCCTATCAGGATAAAGGCAATATCTAAAACTTAATAGAAAGCAAACTTCAGAAGGCAATTCGCACCTATCAGACTTTACATTTTATATTTTCAATTAACTATGTAAATATCAGCATATGAAACAAGTAAATCTGTAAGTATTTTACAGTTTAGTCATTTGGGACTTGCTGGGGTTGTCCAAATTAGTCAAACTCTTACAGCTCAAACTGACATCATCTCATAGAAACCCATTCTCTATTTTCACTGTGCTTTATCCTAATATCATTTTGAACCTTTCAACTTACGGCTTTCCATTGCAAGGACTGTAATATTATGGACAGCATTTGTCTCTCGATCCAATGTTTTGGCAGTAGTGATAACTCCACTGTTAGCGTCAATATTGAAATATCTCTCCAAGTCTGTGTTTCTGTCAATTGAATATCTGGTTGAAAATTTAAAGAAAATGTTTCACATTTCTGTTTGGTTAGAATAATCTTATTTTTCCATTGATTTCTTAGATGATTAACAAATCCTGCTAATACCAATAATAAATGTCATGTTTAAAACTCCTCGTCTATAGCCATATGCCCACAGATTGTGTTTTGATAATCTCTTTTCTTACTGTCAAATGTTTTGAAATGAGTATCATAGAATATATTACTTCAGCATGGCTTTGAATATCCCATTGTATCTCTACCTGCATTGATATTGTTATTTATAATGGATACTAGTCCCAAATCCTTTGTAGAAGTCCCTGTAAAATATTTGATTTTTTTTGGGGGGGTCTGTAACCTTTTGTTTTGATAACATCACTGTTAACATATGTTTTGTTGTTACTAGAATCATCAGTCAGAAATCTTAACTGTCTTTCCAAAGACAGGGGAAAGTAGAAGCCCTAAAACTGAATGCTATTTTCATTGAATGTTGTAAAATTCCAACCTCAAAATATCTACAATGCAAACATTGCTTAAAAATCATGCTATGTCTCCATTCTGGTGCTATGTTAATATTCAATTCTGAAAACCACCAAAACATATAAAATTACAATATTTACATTCCCCTGTATTCTCCATAGTTGAGATTGACTTGGTTCTTATTTTAAAACAAACAATTCATCCCAAAATAAGACAAACATCAAATAAGAAATTAATAAATGCATATACTTTAGCCATGACCAATGATGAATGTCTCAACCACATACATGATGAACCTCCAAAAACATTGGCATCTCATTTTCTTTCCTGCCTTGACTCACATAATCTGTGTGTCTATCTCAAATTAATCATCATTTCTTATATATATCCTTTAGGGTTCAAGCTCTCATATGTATTGCTATGGAAACTCTAATTATGTTCTGTCTTCTATCTGCTATCACAATAATTTTCATTCATATGAACACAATGTAGTAAGGCTATCAGTATTTGCTCTCTTTTAATGTCTTCGTACTTTCACACCAATCAATTTGTCACAGCTATTCACTCCTGAGCAAAGGCAACTAGATGTAACATCTGAGGATTAAAAATGTAAGTTGCCCTTGTCATTTCTTATATTTCTGAGTTATGAATTTGGGAAGAGACTCAATATGGTTGTTTTTCACTTCCTAACCTCTTATTGCATTGCACACCAATATTGTCTGGAGGTAGAGTCTATTTCCCAAATGTCTTATTTCCATTGCTTAATATTATATGAAGGGCATGACTAACATTTTGGTGCTATACATGATTTCTTGTCATGGATGTTCTCATGGGAATAGGTTTGGGCATGTGTCAAAGTTTAAATCAGTCCAGGCAGCTATAATTGTTAAAGAGAATATGGAGACACTTTCACTTATCATTCAAATAGTTGGAAATGAACCCTGAAGGTACACTCCACCTGTGGAAGATACCAGGTATTTTTTCTTTGATTTTATTTAAATAACATTTTTCCCACTTATTTAGATATCAACAAGTATCCCCTCCCTCCACTCTTCCTGTCCTTTCTCCTTCCTATATACTCCCCTCATCATCCACTTACGCATCTCCATTCAGAAAGGGACATACATCCTATGGGCATCAAGTTGACACAGGATCAAATTCCTCCCCTTATGTTCAGGCAGGCCAGGTAAACCAGAATGCTGCAGAGGCTACCAAAAGCCAGATAAGAGCCAGAGAGAGGTACTGTTCTCACTGTTAGAAGCCTTACCAAGAGCCCAAGCTAAATGATTGTCAGACTGTCACACATATGCACAGGGCCTAGGTCTGTCCCATTCAGTCTCCTTGACTGTGGGTGCAGTGTCAGTGGTCTGTGGTCTCTGTGAGTTCCCGCATCATGGCAGGAGTAAGATGGTATCTCAAAGTTGTTTTGATTTGCATTTTCCTGATATTGAGCACTTTCTTAAGTGACTTTCAGCCTTTTTGATTTTCTCTATTGAGAATTCTGTCTTCAGTTCTGTACCCCATTTTTAACAGGGTTATTTGGTGTTTTATTGACTAGTTTCTTGAGTTCTTTTGTATACTTTGGAGATAGCCCTTTGTCAGATGTAGGATTGGTGAAAATCTTTTTCCAGTCTGTGGGCTGCCGTTTGGACTTGTCCACTGCTGTGTCCTCTGCCTTACAGAAGCCATTTATTAATTGTTGATCTCACTGTCTGTGCTACTGGAGTTATCTTCAGGAAGTGGTTTTTTATACCAATTTATTCATACCTACTTTCTCCTCTAAGAGGTTCACTGTGGCTGGATTTATGTTGAGATCTTTGGTCGATTTGGATTTGAGTTTTGTGCGTTGCTTCTACACACTATCATCCAATTGTGCCAGTACCATTTGTTGAAGATGTTTTGCTCCCACTATTGTATACTTTCAGCCATTTTGACAAAAATCAGTTGTTCATGGGTGTGTGGGTTAATATCAGGATTTTCAATTCGATTCCATTGGTCTACCTGTCTACTTTTGTGCCAATGCCATGCTGTTTTAGGACTATAGCTCTGTAGTAGAGCTTAAAGTCAGGGATATTGATGCCTCCTGAAGTTCATTTATTGTCTAGGGTTGTTTTGGCTATCCTGGGTCTTTTGTTTTTCCATATAAAGTTGATTATTATCCTTTCAAGGTCGGTGAAGTATTGTGGTGGGATTTTAATGGGGATTCCATTGAATCTGTAGATTGCTTTTGGCAAGATTACCATTTTTAATATGTTTATCCTACCTATCCAAGAGCATGGGAGATCTTTCCATTTTCTGGTATCTTCTTTAATTTCTTTCTTTAAAGTCACAAAGTTCTGAGAATATAGGACTTTTACTTGTTTGGTAAGCATTACCCCAAGATACTTTATGTTGTATTGATTTCTTGTATTGTTTTCCTGGTTTCTATTTGATTAATTTCAGCCCTAAAATTGATTAATTCCTGGTGTCTACTCCTCTAGGGTGAGTTTGTGTCTTTTTGTCTAAGTCTTTCAGTTGTGCTGTTAAACCTCTAATGTGACTATCCTTTATTTTCTTCATATGGTACATAGAGCAATGAAGTTCCCTCGATACACTTCTTTCAAGGTGTTCCTTAAGTTCTGCTATGTTGTGTCCTAATTCTCATTGAATTTTAGGAAGTCCTTAATTTCTTTCTTTATTTCTTCTTTGACCCAGGTATGGTGAAACTGTGCATTGTTCAGTTTTTATGAGTTTGTAGGTTTTCTGTGATTTGTGTTGTTGGTGAATTCTAATTTTAAAGCATGTTGGTCTGATGAGATACAGGGAAATATTCCAGGTCTGTTATATCTGTTGAGGTTTTTTATGCCACCAAGTATGTGGTCGATTTTAGAGAAGGTTCCATGTGGAATAGAAAAGAATGTATGTTCTTCTGTGTTTGCATGGTATGTTCTATAGATGTCTGTTAAACCCAATTGAGGCATAAATTCTGTTAGGTCTTTTGTTTCTTTGTTAAGATTCTGAAAGTTGGTCCTGTCTAGTGGTGAGAGTGGTGTGTTGACATCTCCCACTATAAGTGTATGAGGTTTTATGTGAGCTTTGAGTTTTAGTAGTGTTTCTTTTACGAAGACGGGTGCCTTTGTATTTGGGGCATAAATATTCATAACTGTGTCTTTATGTTGATGGATTTATCCTGCAATGAATACAAAATGACCTACTTCATCTCTTTTGATTAATTTTGGTTTGAAGTCTAACTTGCTAAATAGTAGTATAGCTACACCTGCTTGCTTCATGGGCTCATTTGATTGGAAGATCTTTTCCCAGCCATTTACTCTAAGGTAATATCTATCTTTGAAGCATAGATGTGTTTCTTGTATGCAGCAGAAGGATGTATTATGTCTTGGTATCTATTCTGTTAGCCTGTGTCTTTTTACAGGCAAGTTAAGACCATTAATGGTGAGGGAGAGTAAAGACCATTGATTATTAATGCTTGTTTTTTTAGATTTGTTTTGTCAGTGGTATCGTGGGTATATTAGTTCTGCTTTACCCTTGGATTCTGGTAAAGTTTTATCTGTTGCCTATGTCTTTGTTAGTGGAGTTAACTTCTTTGGGTTGGAGTTTCTGTAGGGCTTGCTTTGTAGATAGGTATTGTGAAAATCTGGCTTTGTTATTAAATATCTTGTTTTCTCCATCTATAGTGATTGAGAGTTATGCTGGGTATAGTATCCTGGGTGGGGGGGGGCATCTGTGGACTCTTATTTCTTGTAGAACATCTATCCAGGACCTTTTGGCCTTGAGGGTTTCCATGGAGAAATCAGGTGTAATTTTGATAGGTCTGTCCTTTTTCTTTCCCTACTCTCAATATTCTTTGTTTATTCTGTATGTTATATTACGTGTCGAGGGGTATTTTTCTTTTGTCCAGTCTATTTGGTGTTCATAATGCTTGTTTTATTTTCATGGGCATGTCCTGCTTCAGAATGGGGAGGTTTTCCTCAATGATTTTATTGAATATATTTTCTGAGCCTTTGAGCTGGGCTTCCTCATCTTCCTCTATGCTTATCTATCTTAGGTTTGGCCTTTTTACTGTTCCCACATTTTCTGGATATTTTGTGTTGAGGATTTGTTGGATTTATGATTTTCTTTCGTCGATGAAACTATTTCCTCTAGTTTATCTTTTGCATCTGATATTCTCTCTTCCATCTCTTGAATTCTGTTGGTAGTTCCTGATTGTTTGCCCAGTTTTTCTATTTCTAGCATTCCTTTGTTTGTGTTTTCTTTATTGTCTATATTTCACTTATCAAGTCTTGAACCGTTTCCTTCATCTGTTCAATTGTTTTTTCTTCCATTTCTTTAAGGGACTTTCTCACATTGTCTTTGTGGCCTATAACATTTTTATGACGATAATTTTAAAGTTATTTTCTTCTGGTTCATCTGCTTTTGGGTGTTCTGGTCTATTTGGTGTAGATTCCCTAGATTCTGGTTGTGTTAAGCTTGTCTTTCTATTGTTAGGTGTTTTCTTGTATTGCCGTCTTCCCATAGCTTCTTCCAGTAG